CCAGTCTCGTTTATATCTCTCATTTGAGTGTTGGCATTTTCTGATGAAATTCCTAAATTTGATGTGGGTCTGCATTTCTTTGTTGTGAATATGGATAAATCCCTATTGAATCATCCAAACTTTTGTTAATGTGTCTTCATCTGTCACTAACGTTTAACAGGTATTAATTCCATACATTTTTGTATTGAGACAGGTTAGGAAGCCATCACTTTATTATAATCTTTAAAATTGTTACGACCAAAAAATGATAAACACTAAAAATGCATTTGAGACACTTGATAATTTGCCTTGGAACATTAAAGTCATGGATAATTAATTGGGGAGGGCATCTGACTTGGATGGTATTAAAAATAATCTTGGTATTGAATACGACATAAGAAGGCATTCTCAGAAATCAGTGCAAACTTTTCAGTTTGCAAGTATAACTAGAAAAATTGAACTTGGTTTTTTTTGGAACTGATAAATTAAAAGGCAAATTTTGTTTCCAGCCGTCTTTAAAAAAAAAGGCTAAAGTAACTGATCCCAGCTCTTCCCCCCCCCTCCCCATTTCTATCCCAGGTTAAATGTGATTAGAAGATTGATGGGAGATGAGAGCGACTTCCTACATCATGTGACCCAGCTCGATCTTCGGGATAATAAGCTAGGAGAGTTAGATGCAACCATCTTCAATAACATTGAAATACTGCACTGTGAAAGGAACCAGCTGGTAGCCCTCAAAATCAGTGGATACTTACTTAAAGCTCTTTATGCCACTTCAAATGGTATGTTTACTTTGAAGGTAGTTCAAATAGAAATTGATATTCCTGGCCTTTTCTTCTTGCACTGGATTTATTTGCAATATTAAGTTGTGGATGAATCTAGTCCTTAACCATCTGGCTTTACATAAAACATTTAGCAGCAGAATTTTGGAAGCTTGTAGAGTGGTGCTTACATGCTCTTTTAAGAGTGTTGTAAAATGGAAATCCTCGGGATTTAAATGCAAGTTTTAAATTTCCCACAGTGTTGTCACAAATCTGTATGTTCTTTGTGAGAT